AGTAATATTGGTTGATGATGTTTCTTTCCTTTTCATTGTTGTTATTGTCCCAAGTTGTGAGAAATTTGATGAACTTTTAATGCCTTTGACCTAGGTACAACTTAAGCTTATGCTGAGTTGTTACTCCCTTTTGCCATCTTAGTTGAAGATCTCCCACATTTAGTGCTGTAATAAAGTCTTAATTGGGTGGGGTTGGAGTTGCTAATAGATGCATCACTACTGTGGCCTCTTTGCTATCTGATAGAGTTTAAAATTATCGACAATATTTTACACCAACAATCCCATATATGTAGAGTGCTTGGTTGGTTGGGTTGGATTATTTCAATTAATTTATTTATTTCTTTTTCTCATTAAGTTGGTTGCTTTAATCAAAGTCGTGTTTGCCAATCCTATTGAACATCAACTTTTATAGCTAGGTATTACCTTCTTTTTTTTTTGAAACTGGTAACATTACTCTATTCATCCACATGTATACTACAACCAAAAGTGTAGTTCCCCTTCAAAAGTATTACTGTTTATCAAAAGCTCAAGTCTATTTGTGTTACCTATAAACAATCTAGAGCATCAAAGATGTCTTCAGTTTGAGCTAATAAACTATGTTTACACCAGAAGTAAAATAGAGCTAAACACTTCTTTTTGACATCCTGTAGACTGTTCTGCACATTTTTAAAGCTCCTATTGTTTCTCTCGTTCCAGATTGACCACCAAATGCATGCTGGGACAATCTTCCATCTCTCCTCCTTCTTTGTAACATTTCCATCCCTGATCCAGCTACTAAGTACTCCTCTAATGCATCCTGGTTTCACCCACCTGATCCCCTTCAGGCTAGTGAACATTCTCCATAGTTGTTCTGTCCATTTACAATGTAAGAAAAGATGTTTGACTGGCTCATCTTTTTCTCCACACAAGTAACACCTAGAAGCCAAGTGATGGCCTCTCTTGTTCAGGTTCTCATGTGTTAGAACAACTTGTTCCAAAAACCAAGTGAAGCATTTCACTTTGTAAGGTACCTTAGGTTTCCATATCATCTTCCATGGCCACTCTTTCTCCTGTCCCCTTGTCCTGTTAAGGGACGTAAGGCCGTATAAGTAAACTTGACTGAGAAGTCACCTTTGCTGTCTTCCTGCCATATTAGCACATCATTGTCCCAGCAAAACTTCTGTGAACATCTAAATAGCTGAGCAGTTCTGTCATATTTCCAATCTCCCAGTCATTTAGTTGTCTTCTTTGGCCAAGATTCCCTCCCTCCCCAGTCCACATATTAGCTACAGTGGCCTGTTGCCATTGACATAGTGTAACTATGACAGGGTGTGCTATGACTGATTAATTGAATTAACCTAAATAACCACCCAAATTAGATGAGCAGAAACAATTTTGTTGATCAAACCAAACAGATCTATTAATTTGAATCAACCGCCAGACTGATGCACCTTTGGAGGCTGATTATAGAACACGTGTATGCAAGAATTTTTGCATTGTTTCCTCATTACTCAGTCGGTTGTATCCTCTTCCTTGATGCAGGAGATGAAACTGCAGTGTGATGAAAAAAGGTATCCTTCGTCATGTGTCTTTTTGACATGGTACAGAAATCCTTTTTTAAAAATAAAATTGCAATCAAGTCTTGCTAACATCTGGCATGATCTGCAGGGAGGTGTACGAGTATATGGCAAAAAGAGGAAAGGGTGGAAAGGGTGAGAACTTTACTTCTCAGCAGTTACAGGCAGCTCGGGAGGACTATGAGGAAACGGCAAGACTTTGCATTTTCCGTGTACAATCTCTGAAGCAAGGGCAATGTCGCAGCCTTTTGACCCAGGCAGCTCGTCACCATGGAGCACAGGTGTCCTTTTGCATTTCATAACTCCATTTATTTCATTATTGGTTATCAATCTTTTTCTTGAATCGGGTACTTACTTGTCTGCCTAATTTTTCTCTTTTTCTGGAACAGCTTAATTTCTTCCGCAAAGGACTTAAATCTCTTGAATCTGTTGAACCACAAATAAGGATGGTTGCTGAAAACCAACACATTGACTATCAACCTGTTGAATTGGATGATAGCGAGGATGGAGGCAAGAGCTATGAGGCCAATGATGATGGTGAATTGAGTTTTGATTATAGAAAAAATAAGCAGGAACCAAATGACTCTTTCCCATTGAGGGATTCAATGGAGGTAGGTAATCATATTGTTGTCATGCCTCTTTTTCCCTTTGTGGAAGATTGTGAGCTGCCTACTGGAGATCTTGATTGTTAAAGCTTTTGGTAGCATGTCAATTCTTAAATGCTGTTTCCCTGCCTTTAGCTTGTAATAACCACAATGAAACTGGCTGATCACTAATATGTTTCTAGTTCACGGGCTACATCCAATTATTTTTGGCGTATGTGATGAGGTGTTAGTTTTCAAGCAGCACAAAAATAATCTTTTGGTTTTCCTATTCCCCGTCAACACATTTCTACACAAACTGATTCCAATCTCACAACTACTAAAACCAGCTATAACCATAAGCCTTCTTATTACTGCATTTGTCCTTCAGTGACATTACATCCCTTGATCAATTTCTTGTACTCATTCAATGCACATCTGAACTTGTCCGCCTGTGTGTGTATATAGAAAGAGAGACACCTGGGAAGAGAATGACAGTTATGATTTATAGTGATTGACAGTTAAGATCTATAGTTTTTTTTTATGCATTATCAAAATCTGATCTTAGATGATGACTTGCTTAGTTTGCCAAATGTTGGATTTTGGTCTAATATGCCTGATTTTGGCAGTTTGATCCCGTTGATGCTCCAAGTACCCTAACCTCTGGGATGGAGGAAGTGGAGGTAAAGTTCTACCCCTGTGGCTGTATCTAGTATTTAGTAAACATTATGTTAGCTATATATTTTTCCCATATGGCTTGTGTAAGGACTTTCAAAGGGGTTTTATTAAGGGTTTGAGCTACTCCACACGTTGCCTTGAGATTTTCAGTTGGATGCTCAGATTTGTTGGGTCTTTTGTATGCTTCTTATTGTCAACTTGTCAGATGTTTCTTATTTAATTTGAAAGACATTTTCTTGCAGTTGGATTTTGGCAAAAACCAGGAGCAGGTTTTTACTAGACAACCACGTGTAGTCAGTCATTCTGCTCCAATATTTGCAGAGAAATCGGATATTTCTGATAGAATAAAACAAGCTCAGACATCTGCCCGGAAATTTCACACATACGTCTTACCAACTCCAGCCGATGCTAAAAGTTTGGGTTCAAGGACAAGTGTTTCCCTTCAACACTCAAGTACCATGAACACTAGTGGAGGCAGCAACAATCCGTGGCATTCTTCCCCGCTTAATATGGATAAATACTCTAAATTTGCAGATGACAACTTGTCAACAGACACTCTTGCAAAAGGCCAATCTACTGCTCAAGAGATTAAAGATCATACTTTCTCCACCCCACTACCCCCACCTCTTGCTGAGGGAACTTCTCTCCCACAAAATGATATACAAAATGGAATTGATGCCAGAAAGATAAGAAGACTTGCTTTCTCAGGTCCATTAGCAAGTAAGCCTTCATCCAGCAAGCCACTGTTATCTGCCAGTGGACCTATAGGCTTGGCCGAACGGCCTCTTCTAGAACCTGGATTGGCTTCTGGAATACCAATAACTCAGCCACCATCGACTCTAGATGTATCCTACAGTGCTTCACCTCCCCTTGTTTCTTCACCAAAAATAAGTGAGCTTCATGAGCTCCCTCGTCCCCCTGGCTTATTGGCCTCCAAGCCATCAAGTTCTACTGCATTTGGGCACTCTGCGCCCTTAGTCAACAGAAATCAAGAAACGTCACCAACTAATCAGAGCCCTGTGCTGGCATCAAATACAGGTTCTCCACTACCACTTCCTCCACTAACCATCCCTCGAAGTTTTTCTATACCTTCCAATAATCAGAGAGCAATGGCACTACATGTAGCTCAGCTACTAGAATCTCCTCAAAGAAAGGGCAAGGGTGATGTGATGTGCTCTCCTCCATTAACACCTCTCTCTCTTTCAAACGCTTCAAATTCTGGGCAAATCAGAGGTAAAACACCTTGATTAATAGTAACATGGCAACTATACTGTTTCCAGATAAGTAGCTTATTTCTTTGTCAGAGCTAGTGATAAAGTCTAAGTGAACCTCATATCTGTGATTGATCTGCCTGAGTGTTTTGAGAAGGAGAAAAAAGGGTTACAAGTTGTGTTTGAATCTTGTCTAGTCTTCTACCCTCCACCTGGTCAAATCTTCACTGGAAAAGTATGTCAGATTGGTTGTTTGTTTGGGTGGGGGATAACTGGTTGTTAAGTAATTGAAGTATTTCTATAGTAGCTAAAAATGGCTAGGAGAATGCGTTGATTTTCATGTGATTGTATAATTCATTTCCTCCCCCGTTATCTTTGACATGGTCATTTTTTGGTGGATGCAGGTAGGAGCTGATATATAGACAGTGCCGTATTTTTTTCTTTTGGGTCGGGGGTGTAGAGTTTGTGTCCACAAAGCAATATTGCGGGAGTGGGATTTGTACATATGTTATTAATGTAAGGTTTTATTTGTTCGTTTTGAATGTTCTCCATGTATCTTACACAAAAAAAATGTAACGGGAGCTCCCTGCCACAATTTTGATCTCGCGGTGTTCAAATCCACCCCTACCCCCTTTGTAGCGTTTGGGGAAGCCCTTGAGAAGAAACGTCAAATTAAGAACAACGTTCTTTTATAATCTAGTCCATTCTATTATATTAAGATAAGATTCGTGGCATGCAGCATGCATTTGGTGGATTAGTCAAGGGTATGTAAGTTTATTGTGACAACAAAGTTGTGAAAGAAGTTGCAATGGTAAATAAAGAAGTTTATTTATTTATTTGTTTTGAAGATAAGAATTAGTACTAACTTTTTGAGGAATATGAAATGAACTAATGTTTGGTCAGCAAAAAAATCTATTTTGCCCCATCAAAAACAATTGAACTTGGATTAATACAAACTAGTCTACTATACATACAGAAAAAAGAAAAGGGTATATCCTTGTCAATTTAAGACTAGTTAGGTGATAAGGGGAAGAAGAAGTGGGAAGGAAAATGAAGGTGGTCCAATTGGCTCAGCAGTTATGGCCATTGGTCGGCCATTCTCGACCTACTACTATTTGCCATCATCTCAAGCCCAGAGCACTTGCCAACAATAACCATGGTGAGTCTGTCTTTCGCACAGCAAATGGTTCGTATTCCGAAATTTCATAATTAACCTACGATTTCCCATTTTCAGATTCCATCACTCAATTTGATCTTTCGTTAACCCTCAAGGTAAGACTGAGCATTGGATGGATGCTTCTGTTTACGTCAAACTCTTTTTTAACTGACTTGTGATTCAGAGGAAAGCAGCAGAGATATCCCCAGACTTGAAAGGAACTTGTTTATTCCTTGTTGGTGGGCATAACTTTTCTCCCTTCATTCTCTATGAAAATCCACGAATTTATTGTACATCCTTCATGGTTAGAATATCGCTTGTCCTCACTAATTATGTTGCTTTTAATTGAAAGGAATAAACAGCTCCATCAAATCTAACTCAGCTCAACTTCTTGCAGAGGCACTGCGCTATTATTATTTTGACAGGTCGTAAGTTGCACGTTTTCTCCAAAAACCCTAAACTAACATCTCCATTAACTCATCTTATTACCTTAATCTATTGCAGTGATAGTGTTGTTGAAGAAGCTTTGGGAGGAAAGGATGCTGTTAGGTCGTTTATCAAGACAGACTTGAAGGGATTTCGAGATTCGGAGGTGGCTTCCTAATGTCCATATGCTGTCTTTTACTGCTTCTCTATGTTGGGATTTATCACCAAAACCAATTTTGCAACTGCAGACGGAGGTACTGAAGCAGTTGTCATCCATGGGTCGCCTTGTTGTTTGTGCTGGGAATGGTGCAGTTCAGTGCGCAGCTAATCTGTATGAATGCTGTTAATTAAGAGAAAACAAGAAAAGAATCACTTGTTCTTGATCATAACTTGACTTTTATAGGGCGCTTATGAGACACGGCATATCAATATGGATTGATGTCCCTTTGGATATGGTAGCCAAGCAGATTGTGCTGGAGAATTTTCAACTTCCTGCTGCTGAAACAATAAATGGATCATATTCCGAGGTCTCCACCTAAAAAGCTAGACAAAACATTGATATTTTGCTCATATTTAATGTTAATCATCCTTTTCTAGCTTAATGAACGCCTCTTGTTTGTGGATTTCTTCAGCTGTTGGGCTATTATGCTGATTTTTAGCTTACCATGGTAACAGGTGTTGACTCAATTAACTGCTATTTATGAAGATAGCCGTAATGGATATGCTACAGCTGATACAACTATTGCACTACAGAGTAATTTATATTTGCTTCATACTCATTAGCACTAACATATCTTTTGTTGTATTTTAACAGCTTATTTATTCTTTGCAGATATTGCTTCTCGGTTAGGCTATGATACATTGGATGCAGTGACCACAGAAGATATGGTTTTGGAGGTAAAAGAAAATTCTTTACAAGTGTGAGGATATATATTATTTTATTTGATAATTGACCATGTAAGTGTTGTATATTATTGTGATTTTAGACTCTGAAGGAGGTAGAGAGATTGATGAGAGCAAAGAAGTTGATGGAAGAAGCTGCCAGGCCATTTTAGTTTCATTCACCACCAATACCAATACCAATTATTTTGGTTAGTTCTGATTAGTATTGTTCACATGGGTGTTTGGTGATTTTCTTTTAATCTCATCCTTCTAATTAACTGGACTTTGAATTTATTTGCCATTATCCATTTAGAAAAGCTAACATTATCCCGGAGGTCTTCCTAGGCTTGCTCTTTTAGTCTTTAGATGATGGAAACTCAAGGCAACCAAACTACCAAGTCACATGATCCTTTCATTCATTGCATATTTTCAATTTCTACCAATGTTGGTGATGACACATTAGCTGCATCTAACATTGTGGTATCTCGAATCTAAATGTGGAAAAAAGATACATTACAGAGTGTGATATGCTGAATCGTGAAGGAAGTTCCTTTTTATGAAGTCGGGATGTCTTTTTTTTCAGGGGAAACAGAGAAAAATCAGCATTACTTCCAGCTAATAAATGCAGGTGACTTGAGAATGAATTAGAAAAAGTATATTGTTGACCAAAGTAATCATATTGAGCAAGTCTTAGATGTACAATTGACTTACAAAAGAGGTCCTAGATATACAACAAATGCGGTGGTTCTTTATCAGAAGATGTAATGAAAGTTTTTGAAGTTATTCAAATTATTATTTGCAGAATCAACATTTATTGTTTGGAGCCATAAGTGCTGAGCTAAAGTTGGCGAATGATGTCAATACTTGATGCTCTTGCAGTTGTATGACTTCTGGTATTGTGAGAGTAATTCTTAATTGGCGTGTATATTGTGAGTATTGTAAATGTTGCACATATATATCTATCTTACTGTGGTCGGATAAAGCTTTCTTCTAATTGTTAATCTGCAAACCAAGTTACAACCACCTAATCTCTGTTCACTTAAACATCGAGCTACCCAGAAACTCCATCCTCTAAATCTTACAGGTACAGGTATATCATGCAATCAGACAGAGATGGATGGGTTCCCAATAATTTTAACAGAGTACAAATATATGTGAAATTCTAGTAACCTTTCAACAAATATCAAACTTTAAACCCATGATTTCAGGAGAAATTTATGCAGAAATTTGTATGCTCCTAAAGTGAAATGTAAACTGCCAATATGAATGTATATGTACCTAGATGTACTTTTCTATGAGGAAATGCCATTGGGAGATTCTTATACGACTAGCAGCAGATTTGTTCCCTTTCCTTTACTTGATATCAGTACTAGTTCTTGTACGTGCCCGGATGTACATTTCTTGGTGACTTCTCCTCGAGTTGTGAAATCCATAAAAGTGGCATGATTCCTGAAGTTGTGCAACGGTGATTGGGAGACGCATATAGCTTCGTTAGTGGTTACCCTTTTGGTTTTATTGGTTGATCAGTGTGGTAATCTTAGGAAGAGTATAAAGGCATCCGTTTAAGAAATGGGTGGAATAGCAGTGCAAGGCTGTTTTAATGGAAGATGTTTCATATAATTAATATATATTGATGTGTGTTTTGTTAACATTATAAAAGGGAGTGGATGAAGAATGTGAGTCTAGAATCAAAATTACCTTGGCTATGGTTGTTCATCTGTCTGTATACAGGAACTTACTTGTATACAGCAACCATACTGTAGAGACAATTAATTTTTTCTCAATAATCTAAAGGAAGGGTCAGACTCAGACTCGGAAGTAGTAAAATTTTCAACTAGGATAATTGTTTTTTTTTGTCATTCTTGATGTTAAACATGCCTACTCCATTCCATATTTATGGGTACGTTCCATAAAAAGGAAGAGGGTAGGAGTAGGGATAAGTTTTATTTATTTATCAAAAAAGTTGTAATGTAGATTTATGTCACGTCTTGTTAAAGTGAGAGAGAGGGAATGCAGTTTTGGGTGATGATAGATAGGTTATTGTGATTCTACTCACTGCTAGTGAGACAGACACGTGTCTAACAAACTAATTCCTCTCCACTTACCCTGCTGTCTGTCCTTTTTCTACAGATTAAATCATTTTTTTATATATGATTAATACATCACAATTCTAGATTCTCTTTTTCATCATAGAATGTCTAGGCATATAAATATATATAAATAAAAGAAAGAGTAGTACATAAATAGGTGTTAATCTCCACCACCATGTCCATCTGCCTCTGGGAAATAGGCAATTTAGGGTGCCATTTTTAATGAGACTTGCCTTTTGTTTCTCTGTCAGAATTGGCTGAACCAACCAACACAAATCAATTTCTTCACATCAACTTGTCAATCACTTTTTTCCCTTTCCTTAAACAAACATATCAATCTGCTTAAAGTTAAACCACTCTCACGTACTCACCCATACCATTTTAACTTCTAACACACCCATCCCTATATCTAATCACTCTTAATTACTCACCACGCCTACTCCTATATATTCCTCTTACACCATCAAATTATCTCTCCTGCTTTTTCAAAATAATTATTTTTCATTTTACAATTTACCCTTATATATATTTGTTCTTAATTAAAACTACAAACACCTCAATATGAGGAGATGAGTAAATATTAAATGACAAGGGATTAAATACCTTATGAAATTTCAAGATTCAACAACAACAACAACAACAACCCAGTGAAATCCCACTAGGTGGGGTCTGGGGAGGGTAAGTAGTACGCAGACCTTGCCACTACCTCGTGGAGGTAGAGAGGCTGTTTCCAAGAGACCCTCAGCTCAAGAACATCAAATCTAAGTGAACATATAAGTTTTAAAGTTTTTTTTTTTTAAAAATAATATATATATATATATATAGTACTATAAATCATAATAATTACTATAATAGTTTAAGGCATTTAATGAAATTCAGGTAAAAAAAATTGATTTACTCTATATATATGTTTTGACTGATAAATGACATTCAGATCAGAGGAAGTGTTTTATCTTGTAAAATGTACCAACCCCGGTAATGTTTATAAGCTAAAAATGTAAATTAAGAGCTTTCATAGTAATATTGGATTACTTAAAAACCAATTTAATTATTTAACAGATATGGATTGAGAAGCTGGAAATTAAAGTGATTAATCTATTATTAATACACAACTTAATTGTTAACTACGTACACTGATCAACATAAGCTTGTGTACGTTGTAAACTTTATTATCCCAGTATTTTAGTCTTGATATTACAAGTCTTGGATTAATTTTATTTTACCAAAAATTAAAATAATAAAAAGGTGGATGATAGATTCAGAATAAAGTTTGAAAATAAAGAATATATGAGTTAATTTCCAAAGTTAATACTTTAAGTCGATCGAAAAAAGGTTTGGTATTGATGGATATGAATTTATGATTAATATTTGTGTAGTTACTTATTATAGCATGCAGGGATATTGGAAATGATGAGAAAATAGTAAAAATGGTACACTTTAACAACTGTGTACTAACAACGCTGAATGCATGCAGCTGATAGATAGATAGATAGATACAAACAAATTAACTCTCTCTCTTCTGTTCTGCCATAATCTGTCCCATTATATTCCTCCTCTCCCCACTACTGATCAGTACTCTCTCCTCTCCTATCCTATATATACATACATTCCTCAGAAAATTAAGTCATTAATTAATGGCGGACCACACCCACACCCACACCCACCTAGTTTATGATTTCTGGAGCCAGTCTAACTCCGTCCCCCCAGATATTATGCTTGAAGATCATCAACTACCCATGATCCCTGCAGCTATCCCTAAACCTAAACCAAAAGTTCCATCTTCATCTAGAATGTTCTCTTGTCTCTATTGTTCTAGGAAGTTCTGCACTTCTCAAGCACTTGGGGGACACCAGAATGCTCACAAACGAGAAAGAGCCGCTTCTCGCCGGAATATGTTCTCCACCACCCCTACCGACTCTCACCCTAACCCTAACAATAACAATAATAATATGCTCCGATTCCATTTTCTTCAAAACAACAACAATGATCAGGATATGCCTCAACAACAGAACATCATCAATGGTAATTCCCCTTACAATATGAGTAATTACTGCTGCCAGCTCCAAGCCCCTCCTTCAAACAATAACAACTTTAACCCTTTCTGTTCCTCCTCATCCGGTTTCTATCCTCCACCGAATCATGGATATTTTACTACTACTGGTGATGCTCCTACTCTCTCAACTCCCCCTGTTGATGAACGCCAGCTGAATCTCGACCTTACCCTTCGTTTGTAAGAGAAATTGATTTTTCTTCTTCTTCTTTAGAATAGCGAGCAAGTGCATGCGTCAGATCTGAATGTATTAGTCGTCGCACCATTATATTACTAGCTAGCTACAGTCTTATCTTAATTAATCCATGTACTACTATCATTCCCTGTTTAATTAGTCCTGTTTACCTAGCTAATTAACTCATCATGTCACCTCTATTCTCTTACTCCATTTTGAAATTTCTAATCAACTGCTCAGGGGGGCAGAATATTGGTGGCTCCCACTTATTAAATTGAATTTTATAATTGGTTAGAAAAGAGTATATATATGAAGAAATGTGATAAAGAGTTGTGGAGAATATATATATAAATATAGTTGCATGCATGGTTGAGAAGGGAAGGGATATTTGTTATTGTTAGCAGCAGAGTAATTAATGCGAAAGTGATAGTAACTAGTTATGCTTTCAATTATGGAGCAGTGAAGTGAGTAAAAGAAGTAAGTAACCAGGTGTCTTTATTAATTAAATTAATGCATGATACCTCTTAATTCATTCTCTGCATGCACTGGGATATTTATTCTCCTCTCCTCTGTCCTCTAGCCCAAACAAAGTAACCATTCTGTTGAGCTTCAAAACCAACCCCACCCCCTTCTAACAACAAAATCAAAACCATTCCTAACTTGTTCATTCTTCTGATTGCACTACTACTACTACTTGGGAAATACTCTGCAACACAACTTCCACAATCGGAAAATCACATTATGTTGTTAACCACATCCCATCCCATCCCATATATATATATAGTATCAGTATCAATGTACGTACTACCAGTTTCATTCTTAATGGTACATGTAACATTATATTGGCATTAGACCCATTACCTTACTATACTTGGGACGGGACCACTTCTACCTAAACGTAATCAATTTTGGTCTCTCTTTTTCCATTTATCTCTACTTATTAAGGTGATGGTATTACGCCCAACAAGTGTTTTTGGGCATTATTAAAGTAGTGATATATATATGTTTGGCTTACGTCAAACATCAGCCTTTACCTTATGACTAATAGTGACTTAAGTGCGCTATACTAATGTAAAGATTGATCAACTCGCTGCAAAATGATAACTGTAAAGAATCACTCTGTATAGTATTAAGTATTTTTTTTCTTCTTTTAAACAAGGAAGGTGTGCGCACATATATATATATAAGAAAAGAATACAATAAGTACTACAGATCAAAGGTGGGAACTTCAGAATCAAAGCCATGGCTAGCCTGGTAAGGCAGGCGGGCCATTATATTCCTATACGAATCATTCTCTCTTTTCTCCTTGAGGTAATCAATGCATCTCTCAACCTCAGACTTCACTTCCAAGTATAATTCATGTGCTTTCTCCCTGCTTTTAAGTTCCTCCTTCCTCCCTGCAAAGTGCAAACAACAACTAATTAATTAAAAGCTCATCAAAAGCAGCATATAAATACTTCACGAATTACCTGCTGTTTCAATTGGCTTGCCAAAGTAAAAGTAAAAACGGCCAGGAACTTTTGGAAGAATTATTGGAAGATGTACATCTTGGTTTGAAACCTCTCCTTCAGTGTCATATCTGTGTTCACATACAAGACAGCATTCTTCTGTCAATTTAACTCTCACTCAACTAAATGATTTGCAAAGTGAACCAAAATAAATAGGGGAAAAAAAAAAAAGTAACTGGAAATAAGAGACTAGTAGAATCAACTCCTATTTTGGCCTGACTGCTAATGTAAAAAATAAGTAGTCCTCCTTATGTCATAAATCATTCTGTTCAACTAACACACACACTATTATTATTACTCTTAGTTCTCAAAAATTCGTCAAACCACTCTTCTATTAGCTAAAAATATTATTAATCTTTTATATATTATTTTCTGGAAAATAAAACATTTCCCATTCGCCGACCAAACACTGGAAAACATTTTACAGGAAAATCTTTACAGTGAAATATAACTTCCACGCCATACCAAAACACACTCTAAGTCAGATAAACTAAGGAAAGA